CCCCAGTGGGGAAGATAATCTACCCAGTCACCAAGCCTCACCACCCAATCAACCCCAGTGGGGACGATAATCGACCCAGTCACCAAGCCTCACCACCCCAGTGGGGAAGATAATCTAACCAGTCACCAAGCCTGACCACCCGATCCACCCCAGTGGGGAAGATAATCTACCCAGTCACCAAGCCTTACCACCGTATCGACCCCAGTGGGGAAGGTGATCTACCCAGTCACCAAGCCTGACCACCCGATGAAACCCAGTGGGGAAGATAATCTACCCAGTCACCAAGCCTCACCACCCGATCCACCCCAGTGGGGAAGATAATCTACCTAGTTACCAAGCCTCACGACCCGATCAACCCCAGTGGGGAAGGTAATCTACCCAGTCACTAAGCCTCACCACGCCAGTGGGGAAGATGAGCTACCCAGTCACCAAGCCTTACCACCCCAGTGGGGAAGATAATCTACCCAGTCACCAAGCCTCACCACCCGATCCACCCAATTGGGAAAGATAAGCTACCCAGTCACGAGCCTCACCACCCAATCCACCCCAGTGGGAAAGGTAATCTACCCAGTCACCAAGTCTGACCACCCAATCCATGTCAGTGGGGAAGGTAATCTACCCAGTAATCGAGCCTGACCACCCGATCCAACCCAGTGGGGAAGGTAATCTACCCAGTCACCAAGCCTCACGACCCGATCCACCCCAGTGGGGAAGGTAATCTACCCAGTCATCAAGCCTCACCACCCGATCCACCACAGTGGGGAAGGTGATCTACTCAGTCACCGAGCCTGACCACCCAATCCATCTCAGTGGTGAAGGTAATCTACCCAGTAATCGAGCCTGACCACCCGATCCACCCCAGTGGGGAAGATAATCTACCCAGTCACCAAGCCTGACCACCCGATCCACCCCAGTGGGTAAAGTAATCTACCCAGTCACCAAGCCTGACCACCCAATCCACCCCAGTGGGGAAGGTGATCTACCAACCCATTGAGCCTAACCGCCAAAGCCACCCTGTCTGGGAAGGTGATCTACCAAGCCACTGAGACAAACCAACCGATCATCTTTAGTACGATCCTAATCCCTGAGAGCTCGTTACAAGAGTTATGTGAGGTTTAACTACATTGTTTATTTATTCAAGTTACAGCTGAAACAGCTGCTTTAGTTAAACATATTAATGCATCTATTCTGAAAGCTAATGAAAACGGTATGTTGGGGCACATGGTACCGTTTATGACTGTTTGCAACTGTAGTAAATATTATGTCCTTGCCTCTAAAGACTCTCGCTTACCTAATTACGTGCTTTAATGAATGTTCTGAACACGCAATACACGGTGGATGAATGACATAAAACGGAGGAAGTGTAAACCAGTGACGAAGTTAATGTAGAACGTTTTCTACAGGATTGCCCAATCGCTATTCTAAATGAAACATGAAGCGTCAGACATGAGCTTCTAACTCTCGTTGGTATTACACATTCGGGAAAGGAGGAGCAACAACATTGAATAACATACCTTAAATCGACATGCCTTCATATTTTTCAGAGCGTTTCTTTGGTGTTATGCCACCGATTTGAATAATACAGTAAACTACGGTTATGACGAACACGCTTATAACGAACTGACTGATATAACGAACTTACTTTTTAGTCCCGGACATTTGTTGTATATATTCTGTATATATGCTTATAACGAACTACGGTTATAACGAACTGAAATAAGTTTGAGTTCGTAATAACCGTAGTTTACTGTATTTCAGTTCTATCACAATATGTCCGTTAACGTTAGAGGAGAGCCCAAAGTGATGCAGGTTCTAGGCGTTTACCACATTTGTGGGATAAGACTACTCTCATTGTGCCATGGGACAATTACTTCATAGCATTAAACATCCATGACACAGTTTTCAAATAAAATCTACTTTCTCTAATCACTTTGGTTGGTTGGCTGTTTTACGCCGCTCTCATCAATATTCCAGCAAAATGACGGCGGTCTGTAAATAATCGAGGCTGGACCAGACAATCCAATGATTGACATCATGAACATCGATCCACGCAATTTGGATCGATGACATGCATCAACCAAGTTAGCAAGCCTGACCACCCGATCCCGTTAGTTGATTTTTTACGACAAGCATAGTCGCCTTTAACGGGAAGCATGGGTTGCTGAAGACCTATTCTACACCGGATCTTCACGGGTCTCTCTAAATGGTCCTTGACCAGTCGTCTAAGATACGACAAGATGGATACCTTGTCACGTCAGAATCCTTTCATAGATGGTGCGAATCCCAGAGTTTGCACCATACCCGTGCAAATGGGTTTCCAGGAGCTGCATCACTTGGGCTCTCTTCCCATGTTGAGCTGACACGCCCTGATACAACTGAAAGACTGAAAGTTTACGTAGCGTTGAACCCAAGTACCTAACAAACTCCCACCTGTCACCAAGTCACCTGTCTATACGTGTCTGAAACGCCGTGATACAAAAAGGAAAGACTGAAAGGTACTCTCAACTCACTAACTCGCACTAAGCCACGCGCTTATACGTGTCTGACAAGCCCTGATATAACTGAAAATGAAAACAATTCAATCCTAAAGATGTGTTTAGAATTTTATTTGGTATCATAGCCATACAACGTTGTGCAATTCTAAAGGACACAGTAAAACAGTTAGAGCGGTATGTCTAACATAGCAACGAGTTTATTAAGTTCAACAATTCAAGGATAAATGATAAAAACGGTACTGCAAACACGGAAACGTCTATAGAAGTCAAATGTCAAATACATTCTATATCAAATATAAGTGGCAACGAATATGATACACGCTCAAACAGTTCTGCATAAATAATTATAAACTGTAATGATATCATTTACTCTCAAAATATGCATATGTACTGAAACGCAAAAGAAACGTCATCATGGATAGATATATGAGAAACCCTATTTGTCCAAACACTGTAAACATACTTTGAGGAATATTATAAAGATGAAACTTGGCAAAACTGATCATCAAGGTTGAAATTAAAGTGTCAAATGTTCTTAAAGTGAAACACAACACGAGTCTCTGAGAAAATGGCATCACAAGTCAGTATCTCGTGTGTCCGCCATGTGCACTGATGACTGCCGTGCAAAATCGATACATGGAATGAATGAGTCGGTTGATGAAGGCCATAGGCACTTGAGCCCAAACTCTAAGGAACGCCTGACGCAGTTCAGCTGCAGTTGTCGGCCTTGGTCGGACGTCATTCGTCCATCTTTGAATCTCGTACTACACGTGCCCAATGGGATTTAAATCGGGACTGAGGGCAGGCCTCTGCATGGTTCTGATGCCATTTTGCTGGAGGAAGTCTCTTGTTGCTCTCGCAACGCGACGTGCCAAATGAGGTATGGCGTGTGGTCTGAAGACTTGATCAATGTACCGAGCTGTTGTGACACCATCGCCTCTCCCTGGACTGATGTTCTGGAAGACCACAGGGCCGACCCTCGGTGCAAGACCAATTCCACCCCACACCATTATGCTCAGACCACCCCATGAGTCTCTCTCAACATCACAAGCATCCGAATAACGTTCCCCACGGCGTCAACCACTTCTCTTGGTCTTCATAACAATAACTCCCGTTTGAATGTTGTAAACCAGGTAAAGTTTGTCTCTCGATGCCAACACACCTCTTGTCTTATCATCAAAGACTATTCTATTAACTCAAAACAATCAAATATTATGCAAACGTATGTGCCCAAATACAAACAGCAATACATATAATCAAGATACAAAATTCAAAAGACAATGATTACACAATACTCCTCCAAAACTTTAACGTCTATAGAAAAATATACTCATACATCAAAAGGTTTGTTTCTCGGTTTGCTGTTTAATGCTCCACTAAGCATCTCAGTAATCGATTATGGACCAGACAACCTAGTTGACTCCATGAACATCGATCTACACAATTGGGACACGATCACATGCATTAACCAAGTCAGTGCGCCTCACCACCCTATTCCGTTAGTCACCTCTTACGACAAGTATGGGTGGCTGAAGGTCATTTCTAACCCAGATCTTCATCAGGTTATATGTCATAACGATGTATGTTATCTGATAAATGCAGCAGTACAGTCTGATGTGAAATTCTTCCTTACGAGCTCTAACGACCAAGCATTCGAGAACGCTTAAGGCTTGATATTCACAAATGGCTTCGATTTTATGCAGGCCATGCCACTAAATGTTGTCAGTTCCCTTCAATCTCATCAACTAATTCCATTTGTCAAGTTGATTGTGGGTATCGAATGAACATAATATACCACAATGTTAATATGATCTACGTGTGTGGATTTCTTTAATGTGTTGTATCAAACACTTAAATAGAGGACTACGATTTGTTAAATGCTTCCTAGACACGGAAAATGTATATACAACCTTGTGTGTAAATATTAAGATAATTGTGCTCCAGAGCAACGTTTCCGTTTGTGGATGGGGAGACTATGATATTGTTTCATTGACAACACAAATCGGTCACCTGACGAGGTTTTGTCTGTGATCACTATTGAATGAGACAAATGGACAGGACATACTATAAACATTATGAAGAGACATAAAACATTCAGTACACTAACACTGAAATATTATTAGTTAACAGCATAAAACATCACCATTAGAGAACAACAGATTCCAAAGGCGAAACAGCGATGCAAATTATGTGAATGGATCACTGAAAATAAGTGAAAACAGCAGGTCTCGCGGAAAGGCAAAGCATGTCCTGCCCTACCAGTAGCACCCGCCACTCACACAATTTGCATAAAGAATAAATGCTGCAACATGCTGTTATAATATGACAGCAGTTGAATGAATAACTGGGATATGAAGGTTATAAATTTGTTAGATAAAAGTGGAATAGATATGATGGTTAGAGCAACAGATCAAATACCCAGAGGTATTTGTTAAGTCTTTTAAACAAGGATAAACGATTAATATTCTTACGAAATATCCACATCTTTATCTCCGTTTACTTTGAGTTTGATTGTTTAATATTCTGTAAAATTTGTTTCTGGATGCTAATCCTTGAAAGTTCATTGACGTTTTCGATGTCCAATACACTGTATGTATGTAGACACTGGTAGATATAAAATTTTCCCCTAAAGAAAAGAATAATGAATTAGTGACCAATGTTATGTGTGAACTTTCACTTGTTTTATCAGTAGCTTTGAAATCTAAGATTTATATATTTACCAAGAAATTCGCGTGTCATCTCACATACAAGTTCAAGTTGCAACAGAGAAGCTTTTGCTTTGTATCTTTGAAAACGCTAAAAGCATGCTGCTTGTAAATGCCAACTTGTCTTAACCACTTAAAATCATAGGGATCTTAAAATCATAATTCCTATCTGAAATGTCAATGCATTCATTTTTAATCAGCTAAATTCAAAATGTCCTCTTGGCATGCTCTGACTAGAAACACACACAGAAGACATCATTAAAACCAACTCACTCACTCAGTCACGACACGACACACAAATGCTACGTGATTGAGCACATTAACCATATAAGTTTGATTAAATACCATTTTCAACTTTTGTTCACGGGCGACTGAAAGAATAGTATAAATTCAAAACCTAACTGAACTGAAATGGAATACGGTCACTTTTACGATTGACACTGTACTTGTACCATGATCCAGTGACTGGCAAAACCGAATGTCACAGGGATCAAGATGAATGAAATATCTACCAAATAACATCTGATTGTTAACTTAATGGACGAAGGGTAGGGCATTATTCGAAATTTGTATTTCCTTAAAAGAGTCTATGAATTTTGTCAGTTTTACGGTGCTTGTTTGGAGTAGTTTAGATTAATTTACAGTTCACAGAATTAATTAGAGCGTTTACAGTATCAGAATTCGTCAGTTGCACTGGTACCTGTCAGCAGAACTTTCTGTTATATTGTCTAACACATTCGGTACCAACGACAATGTACCATTGGGTACACAACCTCCTCCAAACCCGCCGCATTTGATATGAATAACAGCCCCCTCAGCACTCCTTGACAAAGTCTCTAAGGCTGATTTGTAGCCTGTCAGTTTCCATTGTTGCTCGGGTGAAACAATCCATCCTGTTCCTCGCAGATCGATGGTGAATTCTCCTTTAGCCCCACAAGAACTCACATTGAAATCTTCATGTTTAGCATAACAATCTTTTGCATAGCCATACCTCGGAGGAGTTTGTGAAATGTTTGCATACGTGGTGTCGTCAACAATCACATGCATTGTGACTGGATGAACTCTTATTTTCGAGTACCATACTTCTCCATCACGCCCTTCACAGGTGGGATACAGATTTGTTTCTCCTTGGCAAACTTTGTTAGTCTTATTAGGAAAAATACCATAATTTTTATATTTAAGTGTAAGATACTCCTTTGGGTTCCCGCTACTCATATTGTTGCAGTAGACGCGAGTTCTGTAGAAGTCGAAGTTAGGCAACCTAATCCAGTATTCCCCATCTCCACTGGTCGGCGCACACTGCTTCACCTCACGACATGAGGATGGTACGGCTAAACGGCAATCTGTGAATGACCAATTACCACTCAGTCCACATGATGCACTGGCTTCTGGGTAGAAATCTGATTCACACACATACTTGACAGTAGTTCCTATTGGAAGTTCACGAGCAGAAACTGTGGTGTTCAAGACGGCATTGGGAATGGCATGGAGATGAGACGTTAAACAACCAGACACCTCACAAACTGGTTCTCCTGCTGGAATGCAAATGGTATTGAGAGGGCACACATGGTTGGTACACATTGCAGCAAGTCGCTGTGGCCAGTGTTGAATGTCAGAGAAGAGAAAGCTTGATATACTTTCCATGTTTGCGTCTGTGCTGTCAGATGACTTATAGTTCAGATCACACTGATTTTGTCCCTCATTATAGTTGAATGACTCACAATACTTTTTCCCAAGACAGTAGCGTGCACAGACCATCAGTCCACTGGCGTTAGTGGAGAGGATTTGAGCATTGACCAATTTAACTCCTCTTTTCACAGAGGGTACATTGTCAGTGCACATTTTCTCTGCAGCTACTGTAAGGTCCAAGAGGTTAAGCCCGTGCAATACAACAAGGCAAACTGCCCAGACATAATTGCCCGTTTGATTCCTCATGTCTACTCCGGAAATTTCAGAACCGACCAGGTAAGTATAAATGGTCCTTCAAATACACGATATTTAAACACATGTGAGCAAATGTTAAAAGCACCTACTACACCCGACCTGAAAGGCTGGATAGGCCTGTTAATAGTTAAGCCAGCCAATACAATCGATAAAATGCAATTTAACCTTTCATATTCATACCTTCATTACCGAAGCTTAGATAAATTGTTAGGCCAGCCAATACAGTCAATAAATTTAAGTTCAGCCTTACAAATTCATACGTACATACATGTTATTATTGATGCATTGCTCAAAGGATGTAATCTTGTTCATCTCATGCATACACTTTCAGTGTGTAAATAATCGTCATATATTTTTTCTTTCATTGTCTTGAGAAGCAATTGCCATGGCGACACCATAACGGGGACGTCACCGGTGCCCCATAGAAAGTAATACCCAGCAGCTGTATTCGCAATGACCCCCGAGAGGATTTCAGGTTAGAACTGGCTAGTCGTCACAGCCGACAAAACAAAAGATTTCAAAAGGAATATGATTGGAGACTGCCCAATCGATATTCCAAATGAAATATCAGGCATTTCGAGATTCTAACTATCATTGTTATTACACATTTAGTAACAACAACATTGAAGTACATACTTTAAATCGATATGCTTTCATATTTTTCAGAGAGTTACTTTGGTTTAATGCAACCCATTTGAATAATATTTCAGTTCTATCACAATATGTCAGTTAACGTTGGAGGAAAGCCCAAAGTGAGGCAGGTTCTAGGCGTTTATCACATTTGTTGGATAAGACTACTCTCATTGTGCCATGGGACAATTACTTCATAGCATTAAACATCCATGTCACAGTTTTAAAATAAAAACTGACTTTCTCTAATCATGTTGGTTGGTTGGTTATTTTACGCCGCATTCTGCTATTCTAAAAGACCAAAATTCTCAAATGTAAGAGTGTTAGGATTAGAGTTAATTCAAGAGTTTGCCTACTTGTTCACGGATGAACCTGGCCATACAGATTGAGTGTGTCATGATGTTTGGTTTGGTTTGGTTTGTTGTTTAACGGCGCACTCAGCAATATTCCAGCAAAATGACGGCGGTCTGTAAATAATCGAGTGTGGACCAGACAATCCAGTGATTGACATCATGAACATCGATCCACGCAATTGGGATCGATGACATGCATCAACCAAGTCAGTCAGCCTGACCACCCGATCCCGTCAGTCACTTTTACGACAAGCATAGTCGCCTTTAACGGGAAGCATGGGTTGCTGAAGACCTATTCTACACGGGATCTTCACGGGTCTCTCTAATCACGCATGGTCCTTGACCAGTCATCTAAGATATGGCAAGTTGGATACCTTGTCACGTCAGAATCCTATCATAGATGGTACGAATCCTAGAGTTTGAACCATACCCGTGCAAATGGGTTTCCAGGAGCTGCGTCACTTGGGCTCTCTTCCCATGTTGAGCTGACACGCCCTTATACAACTGAAAGACTGAAAGAAAGTTCACATAGCGTTGAACCCAAGTACCTAAGGAACTCCCACAATGTCACCTGTCTATACGTGTCTGAAACGCCGTGATATAAAAAGGAAAGACTGAAAGTTACTCTCAACTCACTAACTCGCACTAAGCCACCCGCTTATACGTGTCTGACAAGCCCTGATAAAACTGAAAATAAAATAAAATTCAATCCTAAAGATGTGTTTAGAATTTTATTTTGTATCATAGCCATACAACCTTGTGCTATTCTAAGGACACAGTAAAACAGTTAGAGCGGTATGTCTAACATAGCAACGAGTTTATTAAGTTCAACAATTCAAGGATAAAAGATAAAAACGGTACTGCAAACACGGAAACGTCTATAGTGAGTTAGTGAGTGAGTTAATATTTAACGTCACATCGGCAGTATTTCAGCCATATCGTGACGAGAAGTACATTTATAATACTTCTGTTTAGATTGAATAAAAACCTGTCCACGATGGACAGTAAAATAACTAGATTTATCACAGAATTTATTTATAACTAGTAGATAACAATAAAAATATAACATCATACGAAACAATACAAGATATAAATGAGATATTGACCGCCAGCCACTGAAGAGAGATCACCATGCTAGGGTCCATGGGGACTTACAGTACTTTTGCTACCTGCATGGACCCAAGCCGGATTTACATCATCCCTTCAGCTGTTGGCGATTATTGATAAAGTTGGCTAACATTAAAATAACAAATATGCTACGATTAAAAGTGTGGTACAAATAAATATACTTTGAAAGACGTGGTCTTACATACCCTCTCAAGGGGACAATAATTTTACACTACTTCAACCCTCTTTGAGGATACAGCCACCAACAGTCTCAGTAATTAATTTTATTCAACCAATTTTTAAAAAACACGAATTATATATACAGAAGATATTATTCAAAATGTATGTAACAATTCAATTTCCTTTAAAAAACCGATGATTAAATGAGAACTAAGATCAAAAAGATGCTTGAAGAATGAAACTTTGAAATAGTTATCCCTTGTGATGGCAAAATGAAACGTCTATAGAAGTCAAATGTCAAATACATTCAATATCAAATATAAGTGGCAACGAATACGATACAGGCTCAAAACAGTTCTGCATAAATAATTCAAAACTGCAATGATATCATATACACTCAAAATATGCATATGTACTGAAACGCAAAAGAGACGTCACCATGGACAGATATATGAGAGACCCTATTTGTCCAAACACTGTAAACATACTTTGAGACATATTAAAAAGATGAAACTTGGCAAAACTGATCATCAAGGTTGAAGTTAAAGTGTCAAATGTTCTTAAAGTGAAACACAACACTAGTCTCTGGGAAAATTGCATCACAAGTCAGTATCTCGTGTGTCCGCCATGTGAATTGATGACTGCCGTGCAACATCGATACATGGAATGGATGAGTCGGTTGATGAAGGCCATAGGCACTTGAGCCCAAACTCTAAGGAACGCCTGACTCAGTTCAGCTGCAGTTGCCGGCTATGTCGGACGTCATTCGGCCGTCTTTGAATCTCGTCCCACAGGTACCCAATGGGATTTAAATCGGGACTGAGGGCAGGCCTCTGCATGGTTCTGGTGCCATTCTGCTGGAGGAAGTCTCTTGTTGCTCTCGCAACGCGACGTGCCAAATGAGGTATGGCGTGTGGTCTGAAGACTTGATCAATGTACCGAGCTGTTGTGACACCATCGCCTCTCCCTGGACCGATGTTCTGGAAGACCACAGGGCCGACCCTCTGTGCAAGACCAATTCCTCTCTCTCTCTCTCTCTCTCTCTCTCTCTCTCTCTCTCTCTCTCTCTCTCTCTGCAATAACGGCTCTCGTCTGGTGGTGCCAATGCTGGTGCTGTGTTGCCCACTGAAGGCGGTCCCGGCAATGACGTGGTGTCAGAATGGGTCCTCGGTGTGGCCTGTGACAGCGGAGGTGTCTGCTCGTCAAGTGGTCTGGTACCGTTGCTTGAGCCTGTATATGGTCCATACGTGGACTTGAAATGCATTGGCTACTTACCGGGCGGTTTGTCTAGCTTGCAATCGTCCAAAGGGTTGGTGTCGCTGATGTCTTGTCAATCTTGGCATGTGATAGCAATTCAATAACAATGAATGTTATCCGATCTGGGTGGATTTTTATAGGGCAAGAAATGGGGGAACGCATGTGCATTTCAAATTGCACGGAACTCACGTGCATTGGGTTGGCGTAATACCTTTGGGCGATCGGTTTTATTGTCATCTGCTTTGTTTTTTTATCATCAAATTTCATTTTTCCGGACAAGGTAATTCTAAATTTTAGAAACTTTGACAAACATTACCCAGATATTTAAATAACAACTTTTCATGCAATGTTACTTGGGGTGACGTTTCTTTTGCGGTTCAGTATATCATACAAATGTTTGTGCCCTGATACAAACAGCAACACCGAGATTCAAAATCCAAAGAACAAAGATTAAACAATTAGTGCTTCAACCATGGAACAAAACACTCCTATTGGGTAAGGCAAGTGTAAATACAGCCTTGTGTGCAAATATTAAGAACATCGTGCTCCATTGTTACTTGTCAGTTTGCCTACCGCCTCCGTGGTCTAGTGGTAGAGCGTCCTCCCGGAGAGCGGAAGGTCCAGGGTTCGATACCCGGCCGCGTCATACCAAAAGACGATAAAAGATGGTACTTGTTGTTACCCTGTCAGGCGCTCGGCATAAAGGGGCTAAAACAAGCACTGGTCGGCTCGGAGTCAGTATACTGTATCTGAGTGGGGTATTCATGTTAAACTGCAGCATGGTATTTCAGTGAGCTAGCACTATAAATCTACATCAGTCCGGACTAGTACAAGCAGCCACACAAACACACACATACATGCACGTCGCTATATAAGTGCCATAATCTTGGACGCGACGTTAAACCCCATTTCACCTCACCTCACCTCACCTCACTTGTCAGTTTGCTGTATGGCAAACTATGATATTGCTCCATTGTCTGTATAAATAGGTCCCCTGACAAGGTTCTGTCTGGGCTTGATGTTAAATGAGACAAGTCACTAAGAATATTTAAATATCTTCCTCTATTCACTTTTAAACTCATTCAGACCAACCTAAAGCATATAAATGTATTGCAGAGGTGTTTGAATCTTGACGTATGATATATAATTTCATAACACTGTAAATATTCAATAAAGTCACAATCGCCAAACCTCTTTTTCAAACCACTGATATTTTATGACAATATGGTGTAGTTCTGACAGTCACTGGTGAAAATGTCATTTGTCTCCTGTGTGAGAAGTTCTGGGCCTTGGCCAGATTGCTACAAACAGGTGTTTCCATTTCGTTGTGTGTAACCCGTGAGTTGTCTCCTCACTCACTCTTGCACGTGAAGGCCGGTCGTGTCTTGGTTTCGTCATCAGTTTGCCGTTCTTGAAGTAGACCACTAGTACTCAGTTTTTAACGTCCAGTTGTTGTTGTAGAATGATGACTGGAAACGCCGTAGCCACCATCCCCGAGAGAAGAATGTCCATCTTGTCATCT